TCATGACGTTCACAACGGGTCCAAGCTTTGACGGAGGAGGCGGAGAAATATCCCGCTAGCCGTGTCATACAGCATTTTATTTTTTCATATGGTGCTATGATATGGTTGTTGCCCTTGCTGGTGCATGAGGGCGCCTGGCGCGGGATGAAAGCTAGATGTTTTCCTACTGTGTGTGCCAGGGCGTTTGGAATCTGTCACAGCTGCCTCTTGGCTTCGTCCGCGCCGTTTGTTGTCCGTGCGAATTGTGGCTTTTGGGGGCGGGGAGAGGGGAGTTGTTTCTATGGTGTTGGGAACGTAAAGCGGTCTATTTCTGCAGTCTCTGCATTGTTTTTGGAAGACACCGCTGTCGCAGCTGGCTCCGTCTCAGGCAGTAACGTTTTTTCTTGACTAGTTAGTTGTAGAATTTGGGACGGCCGGGGCGGGGGGGGGGGTTCTGTGTTTCGTGTCGGGAGAGACGGTCGTTTCTACCTGTGCGTTTGGACAACACTGCTGCCGCTACGTGTAGCTGTTGTCTCCGGCTGAGTGGTGTTTCCTCACAACAAAGGTAGCTTGTTGCGGGGATTGTGGGTCGTCTCCATGATCGACGTCGCTGACGGTCATGGGCGAGGGCATGCTGGTGTGGGGGGACCTTCAATTTACAGAACGACGTTCGGAAGAGCATGTATGTATTGTTTCAATTTGAGTGCCTTTTATGGTTCTCGCTCACATGTAATCGTGCAACTTGGGACGTTGACGACCCTGGGAAGAGATGAAAAGCCGCGGGCGGAGATGGTTTTAAGCTATTATAGAGCTACTGGCAATGTGCATAACGCATGGGCACGGGATGTCGTTGTTTCAGAGGGTTGCTCGGGAATGTACCGACGGTAAAATTGTAATGATTCGAAGAGAGGGGCGAAAAAACAACTGAAACATGAACAGAAAAAAACGTGGTGCAGGGAAATTGAACCCGCCACTTACAGTGTTGAGCACTGCAGTTTGTTGTAGACCGGCCGCATCGTGCAAGAAAGGGTACATACACCTTGCACTGTTACCGGCAACCTGCCCCCCAACCGGCTTGTGTGGAGCGCGCCAATCTGCAAAAAAGGGTACACCTTGTCATACCATAGGCAACCTCCCCCCTAACCGAAATGTGCATGGCGCGCCAACCTCCAAGAAAGGGTACACCTTGTCATACCATAGGCAACCTCCCCCCTAACCGAAATGTGCATGGCGCGCCAACCTCCAAGAAAGGGTACACCTTGCGCTGGCATCGACAGCCTACCCGCTGTCCAGCTTGTGGCAGTGCACCCACCACAACAAATGGTACACCTTGCACCGCCATCGACAGCTTGACCCCTATCCGGCTTGTTAGCAGCGCACCAACCACCAAGAAAGGGTAAACCTTGCGCCGCCATCGGCAGTCCGCCCCCTGTCCAGCTTGTCAGCAGTGCACAACCACCAAGGAAACGTACACCTTGCACTACCATCGGCAACCTGCCCCCTGTCCGACTTGTAAACAACGCGCAACCTCCAAGAAAGTCATACCTTGCACAACCGGCTATCGTTGCATTGCGAGGATAACTCAAGGTGGGGGGATTGCAACTCGTGCCAAAATAAATCTCGATTCAGGTTGCCGAGAGTGCCGCTACAACCCGGTGTGTTGGCCACCCGTGTACCAACATGTACGAACACTCTGTATTCGTACAGCAGTTCCCGACCTGGAGAGTCGTTGCGTCCTGTTCTTAGCATCGGATCCTTTGGGTTCTGGAGCAGGGGTTGCGTAGCTAAGCTGAAAAGCACTCTCATATGGTGAGGTATTTCTGGCGGCCTGGCCTGGGTAATAAGCACAACCCCGTTTACCTACCGAACATCAACTTGCTGCTGCATGTACACCTGCTGTGTGTGCGTCGGCGGTTGAACACAACACCTTGTGACTTCGGTTGGATGGAAGCAGCAAACATGAACTTTCAGATGGCGCTCACGTGTCGACAGGCATCTTCGCTGAAAGCCCGCCATGGGTGCAACCATTAGAACTTAAAGCTGAAGCAGCGGTGGTCCGGGTGATGATAGCCTGGCTGCTGGATCTAACATTAAACATTCCATCACACCACGGACCACCAGCAACCAGGCCCGGAGGCGCCCCGCAGATGTACCCGGGAGGGTAGTAGATACAGCGGTGCCCCGAAGTCGTCCCGCCGAGGAGTCAAGCCGTGCCCAGTCGAGAGCCCCACGTTGCATGGTCTCTGCGCCGTCTCTCACAGCAACGCGTCCAGGATGCTGAGAGCGAACCGGAGTAGCGGCGGCATGCGCAATTCGGGACCGGCTTCCCCAATGGTTTGGGCCCTGGTAAGTCCACGTAAGCTGCACACCTTTTGACATGCTGCTTCTGAACACGTTGTAATCGTCTCGATACCTTCCAGCAGGCAGCTGCAGGTGTGAGTCCCGGGCAGACCAGGAGGGAGGCACACACGCAAACTGGCACGCGTGTGCCTATGCCGAGCTGGAGATAGATCAAACGCAAAGAAAAGGTTGGATTAGGAAGAAGTGAGCGCACACATTTCAGGAACCGCGCCACCAGCTGGCGACGTGTTTGCCTCTGGTTCTTACGCTCGCCCAGCGCCTGTTCTGCGCGCCGGCCCTACCGTGAGGTCCCACCAAACGAAGGTCGCTCGTATCTATACGTACGCGTGGTTGTACTGCTGCTGCCTTAGTGCCTTACCTTGTATGATCGTCTGTACGTCGCAGCTAGAAATCGCACCGGGTCGTCATGTGAGTCTTTCCCCTCTTTCGACAAAAGTTGGCGCAGAAGGCGAAGATCCGCCCACACGCCACAAAAACGGTCAGCAGGGGACGGGGCCCGCGTGCCGTGGAGTCGGTGTGGATATTGTGCAAAGATGTTCCAACACAACATTGCAAGTTATCACCCCAAGAGGCACTGCATGATTCGGTTCGCGGGCGACCGCTGCCAACTGCGGCAGCACCGCTCAGGTTTTACATCAAACAAAAATCCGCAGCAACAGCAGTAGCAGTGTAGCCTAGTTGTGCATCGGATCAGAATTTTTGCATGTGGAAACAAGTGGCAAGTACACCTACATTTTTTTTATTTAGTTCACGGAGGGGGCGGCGCAATTATTTCCGACGGCGCTACGCAGGAAGTTGAGCACACGAGGTACAGCAGCATGCCTGCGAATGTTCCCTCCATGCGGACTCCGCTGGACCGGTACAGGTGCTAGAGTTTTACTGATTGAAATGGAGATTTGTGCTGCTGTGCAACGCTCCCAAAAACGCAAATAAACATGAACCCCGCCAAACACTTCAAGTTTCTCCGACGGCGCCAAACAAGGCAGGGATACTACAAGCACACCTAATCCCTGGGTACTCCTTCAGGGAATGCATACCGTACGTATAGGTGGCACAAGATACCACACGTCATGATCTAATTTTCAAAGCTCGGTTACTCCACGGCGCATCAATGGAGCGATGCGGAGTTTTCGGAAAGCTCTCACGATTCCAACTGAAAGGTAAACTACGCGGGGTGCAGCAAGCCCGTGTTGGGCGTCTGTTGGGGCAGTGGGTAGTCGGCCGTGTTAGGCCGAGAGAGAGAGGTAGAGATTGAGATTGCGTTGGCGTTGGAGAAAGCGTTGGAGAAGGAAACTTGATTGGAGAGAGACGGCGGTAGCGGTGGAGAGAGCGAAAGCAGTGCGCTAGATGCGCGAGCCTTCAACACCGCAACCAAGGCCAAAAGGGTCCCCGTATCTGCATCGGTGGTACCCATCAACATACGAAATTCTCAACACGTATCCCCGAGGATCCTCACGTCTAGAGACTGCTGCGAGTATATCTTACATCCCCCCTGCTCGCAACAGTATCTTCACTGCAAACTACGAAACAATATCGGATATCTCAACCAAAAGACGTCTTTTCCTGAATATATGCGATCAAGATTACTTCCAAAATATATGACACGAAAACCAAGTCCAAGAAACATGAATACTGCTTCATCGCGCGTGAAAATAACTTAGCGCGGAAAGCAAAACAATCAAATCGAAAGCCAAACCAAACTCATCAGAAAAATAATAAAAACTCATGCCAAATTCATCACAAAATCACGGTGAGACTCGAACGCATCCTTGGGCAAACTTTTCGTAAGAAAGTCTGCACGCTGGTACGGAGACGGCACGTGAATCACCGAAATCTCCTTCCTCTCTACCAGTTCCCTGAGAAAATGGTGCCTTACATCAATGTGCTTCGAGTTCGAGTTTGAGATGGGGTTCTGCGCTAGTTGAATCGCCCCCTGGTTGTCCTCGAAGACGGGGATGCACGGCATGCCGACCTGCGGCAACATGAAACGCCAAATCTGCCTCAAAAACAAAATCTCCTTCACTACGTCGCCTAGCGCGACGTACTCTGCTTCTGTCGTCGAAAGCGTGACGCATTTTTGCGTTCTGGAAAACCAAGACACAGCGCCTCCTCCACACGTCACGATCCCCCCTGATACCGACCTACGGTCTGCTGCCTTGCTTGCAAAGTCCGCATCAGCGTATCCCTGCAAGCTGAATCCCTCTACCGTACCTCTCTGAAACGAAATACCAAAGTGACTCGTCCTCCTCGCATAGCCTAAAATATCCATCGCTGCATTCCAGTGTACCAGCTTCGGAGATGCGCAATACCTAGCTACTGCCCTTACTGCATTCGCAATGTCTGGTCTAGTCTGAGTCGCCAGCCACATCAACGATCCTACCAGCTCACGAAACGGAAACTCTGTCGCCACCTCATCCGCATCAAAATCAGAAAGCTTCACACCCGAAGACATCGGAACGCTCCTACCTCCCACTACTCCATATTCTGCTGCTAGCTCGTCCGTGAAAGTCTGCTGAGAAATCGTCAACCTACCGGTCTCCTTATTCCTCTCGTAAAAGCACCCAGAATACCATCTCAACTCTCCCAGGTTCTTCACTGGCACGGACTTGTTAAGGTCAGCGCCAAACTTATCACATCTCTCCCTCTCTCCAACAGCAAAGATGTCATCTACATGTACAACCAAAATCAAAACAACACATCCATCCTCAATCAAACGAAACACACAAGCATCGGCCATGCACTGCTCAAATCCTAACGCCACCAAACACCTCTTCAGCATTGCATGCCACTGCCTAGATGCCTGTCTTAAGCCATACAGACTCTTGCCTAGTTTTACAATCATTCCTGATAGAGCTCCACATCCCTGCGGCAAACGCATGTACACGTCTTCCTCCAACTCCGAACGCACAAAAGCTTGCTCAACATCGAAATGACACAAGTCGAGGTTCAACTCGCACGCCAAAGCAGCCAACATCCTAACACATGAAACAGAAACGGTAGGCGCGTACAACTCTCCAAAGTCAATGTACTCTCTCTGCATATCACCTCTCGCTACAAGTCTCGACTTAACCTTAGTGGGCCATCCAAACTCATCTGCCTTCCAATCGAATACCCACTTAGCGTTAATTGCGTTCTCCACTAGTTGCTACTTCGCCGGAGTAAAAGTCCCCGCTTCCAACAAGCCATAAAACTCCCTTTGCATAGAGTCGCTCCAAAGGTGCCGGTGCTCCGACGCCATGGCCTCTTTGTAGCTCTTGGGGACACGAAGGTCGCTGGCCTGGCAATGCGGAAGGTCAGGGCGTTGCTCCGGCGGGCGCTGGTCTCGCAGCGTGGCGTCGATGTCTTCCCGGTTGGCGAGGAGCGTGGCAAATGCGAGTGGAAAGCCCGCTCCTGCAGCCCCCGGGTCCACTGCTGCGAGTGCTCCCGCCTGCTCTCCGGCCCCCGTTCCCCCCGGCTCTCCGGCCTCCGCCCCCCCCAGCTCCCTGCGCTCCTTATCCACCGCGCTCCGAGCCTCCAGCATCGACACCAGAGTGTTCCTGTCTAGCATCGAGATGAGTCCTGTGCTGTGCCTCGTGCCCGATCTCGTACGGCTTGGCAGCCGCGGGTCTGTCATACCCTCGGCCTTTGTACCCGGGCGAAGCTGCCGCATGGCGTGAGCCGTAAGCGGGGGCATCGCGGGGTCCGGCGGCGGCGGCGGCTGGTATGGATCGGGGGTCGCCGACGGTGACGGCGGAGAGGCAGAGGACGGATTGCCAGGAGCGGGGGTCGCCGACGGTGACGGCGAAGTGGCAGAGGGCGGCTGTGAAGGCGTGGGAGCGGGCGGCGGCGTGGTCGCTGGCGGCGGCGTTGCGGCAGGAGTCGAAGAGGCAGCGGGAGCGGGAGCGGGCGACGGCGTGGGCGCTGGCGGTGGCGGTGTGGCGGTCGAAGGCGTCGGTGCTGGGCCAAAGTTGATCGAGACGACCGGCGGCGTGAACGGGGGGGGTGTCGGCGCAGCGGTGATACCAGCGGAACCCCCCTCGCCGGCTGGCGCCGACGTCACCCACGACACGTTGTTGGTGTAGACGACGCGGCCGGTGGACGCCTTGAGGACCTTGACGGTGCCGCTCGGGTGGTTGTCGCCGCCGTTCAGGTAGTAACAGAGCGTGGCCTGGTCGTCGAGCTTGGTGCGGCGGTCCTCGCGCATGAAGCCGGGCTGGAAGAACGGCAGCACGCGGAACGGCCCCTGCTCGCCGGTGAACATCTCGTGCGGCGAGCGCCGCCCGGGGTTGGCCTTGGTCGCCGACTGGTTGAGAGCGTCGGCGGCCCACTTCGCCGATTCCATCCAAAGACGGTCACCACGCTCGTCGAGGCCGGGGATGGAGGCGAAGTCGACGTGGAACACACGGCCAGCGCTGCGGCGGGCGGCCATGCCGGCCTTCATGATCCGCCAGATGGCGCTCTCGACGACGCCGTTGTACTGCGGGACGCCGGGCGGGGTGAACTCGACGCCGATGCCGTTGTCGTCGCAGAAGCGCCGGAAATCGCCGCGGGTCCACTCTGTGCCGTTGTCGACGCGGAAACATTCGATTCGTCCGAGGTCGTACCGCCCCACGTCCGCCAGCAGCCTTTTCGTTGCCGCCAGCGCGTCGGACTTCCGCCGGAGACCGTAGACTTTGTTCCACCGCGAGGCGCTGTCCACGGCGACGAACAGGTAGAGGTTGCCGCCCAGGGAAGGCACCAGCGGTCCACACAGGTCCAGGTGAACACGCCCGAGAGGCTTGGACGCCCTCGCTCCCGGCCCCCGCGGCACCGACGCTCGCCTGCCCTTCGCCTTCATGCAGTCCGTGCACGGTTCCAGCTTGCCGGTGAGCACGATGCCTCTCTGCTGGGCAGTTTCTCTCAAAAGAGGCTCGCAAGCGTGGGCAAGGGAGCGGTGGAAGCGGTTGATGTCAACGGACTTTTCGGTCGATCCAAGAGTGAACGGGGACGCACCAGGGCCAAGCGCGGCCGCACCCAAGTCAAAATCAGAACCTCCGTCAATGCTATCCAAAACACCAGCCACATTCGCAGCGTCACTCTCTGGGATAAATACGGGGAAAAAATCTTGATGTGGGGTGTCATCATAGCCATCCATGAGCTGCTCGTCGGTGAGCACACTCGTATCTCCAAGATCCATACCCGGGAAAGTACCCACACACTCAAAACCGGAAGCCGAAGAAGGTACTACGTCGGCATAGCCGGCGGGCGGGACGCTCTCACTCGCAGGTACTACACTGGTTGGACCAGTGGGCGGGACGCTCTCACTCGAAGGTACTACGGTAGCAGAGCCTGCGGAAGGAACACGCAATACGGACACCAATGATTCCGCGGAGCCCCCTTGTTGGGAAGAGGAACGCGTGGAGCCAACGGCGGGGGTGGTAACGGGGGATCTCACGAAGGCAGGCAAGGCAGCAGAGTCTACCACAATCGCAGACGGGTCGTAAGGCATGCGCATTGCATAGGCGGCAGAAGCTTTCTCCTCTCTAGCAAACAGCAGTCCGTTACGCAGGGTCACACCACGCTCGTCATGGATTATTCGTTGCCGAAGGGAAACAGCATGCGTCGAAAACAAGTTGAAACTCAGACTCTCGACCACAGACACGTCAGTCAGCTTCACATACATCGTCGTTGGCACACCGTTTTCACCTTCCTGGAAAAAGCTGAGGTTGATGCTACCGATTGCTTTCACCTTCAGCAGACGACCATCTCCTACAATGACATACTGCCTATTCGAGGGTATCTCCTGCAAGTCGTACATGTGCAAGTCACTGTTGGTGAAACTGTTGCTGGCTCCTGAGTCAGCTACCCATCTCTCGCTACCAGGCGGCCCCTCACTAGATTTCACACTCAGCAAAGACGAAGCACTAGAAGCAGACTCTACTCCTATCGTCACTCCTATCCTACTGAAAAAATCGTCAGGGTGAGACTTGCCTAGGGGCACCGATTGTGCCGTGCAGAGGTGGAGGTAGCCCGAAGATGGAGGCGCGCCAGGAGAAGGAGTAGAGGACGAGGAGGAAGCGCTCGCGGGGGGGGGCTGACGTTGCTGCTCGGATGACGAATCTTCGCCGGCGGGAGGGTAGTAGACGTAGTGGATGCCGCCGTCAGATGAACGGCTGTCTTCGTACCCTGAGGGGTAGCTGTAGCTGTCTCCACCGCCGGCGTAGTGGGCGTACCCGGCGTCGTGGTAGCCGCCGTCGTAGTAGTATCCGTCGTCGTAGTCGCCATAGTCTTCGTAGTAGCCACCATCATCGTGGGCGTAGTACACAACGTACGCCTGCTCTCTTCCGTGGCCAGAACGCGCGTGCCCCGGGCCTCTCCCTGCCCGCTCTCTCTCGGCACGCCCGTCGCTGCTGTGGCGTCCCGAGGGCCCTCGACCCCCCGGGTGCCGCCCCAGACGACCACCAGGTCCACGTCCACGAAGAGGTCGCGGGGGGGGTGAGGCTTGGCTCCAGCCACCGCCACCATGACCGGTGTGGTGCTGCTGCCCTTCAACTCTCACCCAACGCCCGCCACCCCGGCCGGCTCCCGACGGCGGTCTTCCTCCTCGCTGGCTCCAGCCGCCGCCACGGCCTCCGCCGCCACCTCCGTGGCGATCCTCGGCGGCTGCTCTCGTGCGAGTCCGCCGCAGATGCTGCTGGTAACGGCATTGCCCGTTCGTGTGTAGTTCGGACTGGTGGTAGCGGCAAAAACCGGTGGGATCTTCGACGAACACGTCACGGTTTCTCTCGCCATCACGGATTTCACGGTCTTGACCGTCGACTACTCCTTGTCCCCCGGATGCCCCCCCATTGCCCCCGCCGCTCCGGCTCGCACCGGACGCGACGAGGGCGAGCTCCGCCTCTCGCCTCTGCTCCTTGCTCCTCTCGCGCTCCATCTCCATGTGGGCGTCCCTCACCACAGTCTCAAGGGCATGCAAAGTCACGACATCGCTTGCTAGCAATATTCCTTTTTGCACGGCATACGATGGGGGAAGGCCGCGCACAACGTCCTTGTAAGCATGTGTTGTGTCTTTGATAGTTCCTACTGAGGCAAGACGTAATCGAAGAGCTTCCGACCTTGCTATGTAATCCTGTGGGTTCTCCGACTCACGCATTTCTAACGCCAACCACTCTTGCTCAAGCCTAGTCTTCTCAGACTCCTTCTTCTCTTGGTAGAACTTCGTGACGATCTTCCACCCCTGCTGGGGACTCTCACATGCCATGATCAAGTTCTGGATCGGAGGGTATAGAATCTTGCTGATGATAATATTCCACAACTTCAACGACTTGTCCACCACATCAGTCCCGAAGATGCCCCTTAGCTCTGCTAGATCCACACCCCTCTTGCCAACCTTGACATCAGTGATCCCTAATACATCATATACACCCTCTTCCTGAAAATACGACACCATCTTACTGCGAAAAACATCAAACATAATATACAAATCCTGCTCTTTCTTCACACTTCCAAGCCAAGGGTCTATGTCAGAGCCGGGGTTGACACGAAACGTGCCTGTGTGGGCAAAGCCCTGATGTCCAGACATGGCCTCGGCTGTCGCCTTGACCGCTTGCGCCACGATGTTGGCGACGTTGGTGGGATTGTTGAATGATTGGGATCCCTGGCTGGAGGGTGAAGGCTGGTTGCCGGTGGGCGGTATGTCGGCTGGTGTGGGACGTAGCGACTGCTCGCCGATGGTAGGTGACTGCTGTTCTGCTGGCAGTGGGGCGATTTCTGCTCTCTCCTTCGCAAGTTGGGCGTCCACCCTTCGTTGAACTTCTTGTTGCAGCTCTTCTTTGCTGAGGGTGGAGAGGTCGATTTCGGAATCCTCCGAGGTAGGCATGATGTTTTTGTTGTGGGAGTCTACCGATTGCGCGTGAATGCACAACCCCCCGGTGTACTACGACCGCGCGCAGAATCTGAATCTGATTCGCACTAGTGTGAAAGGTAAACTACGCGGGGTGCAGCAAGCCCGTGTTGGGCGTCTGTTGGGGCAGTGGGTAGTCGGCCGTGTTAGGCCGAGAGAGAGAGGTAGAGATTGAGATTGCGTTGGCGTTGGAGAAAGCGTTGGAGAAGGAAACTTGATTGGAGAGAGACGGCGGTAGCGGTGGAGAGAGCGAAAGCAGTGCGCTAGATGCGCGAGCCTTCAACACCGCAACCAAGGCCAAAAGGGTCCCCGTATCTGCATCGGTGGTACCCATCAACATACGAAATTCTCAACACGTATCCCCGAGGATCCTCACGTCTAGAGACTGCTGCGAGTATATCTTACACCAACGACGCCATGTTTTTCGCCACGGACCGGTGTAGAACCAAGCTTTGAAAATAGGTGCAGGGGTGTGGTATCTTACGTCATGTCACCTACGGTATTCCGGGTTCAGCAGAACTACCATTCCACAGGTCACGGTGTGGTGCACCGCAGCGACCATGTTTTGTTTCATACAGTATTTTCATCCCGATATATGACAGCAATGGTGTGGCGCAGTTTTTTCCGTCTCGAAATGTGACGATGCTGTACGGTTTTCCCGGCGCACCACGCTTGTCTCGGTGCGGTTTTTCTCTCTCCTCCAATATAGAAATCGCGCGAACCGTGGGCTTTGGTGGCGGTTGCGGTGCACCGTGGAGAAACCCGTTGAAATATTCTGGGCAGGCCATATGGTATGCAGAGAAAGATTTCGCTTGATCTCTTCCCAGGCTGTGACGGGCAGGTGTCTACATGTAATATAGCTCACCTCAATACAGGGGATCATTGCAGCACAGCAACAGCGTCTTACTCTCACAAGCAGCGCGTCCCCTGCTTTCTTTTGAACCACCAGAGTTCGTTGCTTTCAGTTTCACCTCGTATTGACCGTCGAAAACCGATCTAAGGGCACTCTACCACATGACGCAACAGCTTCCACACGCCTGTGTGCCACGCGCGTGATGGAAAGTCTTCGTCGCCACGCGTTGAAATTCGGCAGCATTTTCGTACATTCGGCGGCGTTTATTATCAAACAGCAAATGAAACGCGCCATGTGTTTTCTTCTGCGTCGCCGTCGTCGTTGTTGCGGTTTACGTTTTCGTGTATCAAAGGTCGGGGGAAGCCTGGCGGTTTCGCTGGCGTTCAACGTCGTTAACGCCAAGGCCAGGAGAGGCGTTAGCGGCGCGGCGAGCGGGCCGAGGGCCGTCAAGCGACCCCACCCTGTACCGTTCGGGAAAGTGGGAGAGGAGAACCGCGGGAAGGTTCGTGCTTTTGTTTTTCTTGGGGGGGGGGACATACAGTAGTAAGCAGAGGGACCAGAACCTGTTTGTGAAGTTTTCGTACCGTTTTGGGGGGGGGGGACACTGCAGTACGTAAGAACAGCGATTCACTTGCTTGTTGTTGTTGTAACACAACGAATCCATCTCAATCCGAAAATGGGTCCACGATAGTAAAGCAATCAATCGTAGCGTTAGCGGAGGGCCCTTTTTGTAAAGTTGTCGTGCTATCGCCTCCTTTGCCCGAGAGAAAGTCTTGTCAGCATGTCGAGTATACATTTTGTTTAGCATCGATTCGTTGTAACTATTGCTAACGACTCCCCTGCGTTCAGGTTCCTGACAACAACGGCAGTGTACTTCTTGCACATACATAACATCGGTTTGTACCATGCCCTTGCCCCCGTCATCGAATAAGCGTTTCATGACAATCTTGACCCCCCTCCCCCCACGCCGCCCCCACGGTGCTCCCGTGCCCCTTCTTGGCAGAACCCCATGGACCCCCCTTTGGAGCGAATGGACGATTACTTCTGGATGAGGGATGACAAGCGAGAGTCCAAGGTACCATACATTAAACCCTAGCGCCAAGCCTTGCCTTGCTGTCGTTTTTGCTGTTGGTCGTTTTTACCATAGCTCTTGTGGGTTGAGCTAGACTGCCTGGCATTGTGTTGTGATGTTTTGGCGCATGCCTCAGTGAATCTGCGCTAGTGATTACACGCTTTTCGGTGTTGTAAAAGCTTGATGAAGCATACGTTGGAGCGATGTGTTCCTGGTGGAAGTGTCTCGAAGCCGTCTGTCACTCCAGGCACTACAGAGGCCAAACCCCGTTCGTAGACCCTCAAGATGACGGAAGGAAAAGAGGAGGGCAGGACCGTATGAGAAGGAACGAGCAGTCAGCAGTGCGCTCGCTCGCTTGCTCCATCCAAATGGCGTGCGGTTGTTTTTTGCTCTACGCACCGAGGTTGCACACAAGTGAAGCTCGATGCCCTCCCAATGTGCAGCGCTTCTTCCTCTGTCCCTTTTGCCTGTTCGATTCTGCGAATCGTCAGGAAGTGCTGGGGCACATCAAGAATGAAAACGCCTACACGGCGAAGAAAATGGCACACCTAGAGGGCCTCAGGGAAGACCTGTACAAGGTGCGCACGTACGCGATACAACAGCAATGATGTGAATATGGATAGGAGTCAGCGTGCAAATTTCGTGTGTGGTTTCCATCAGCTTGATGAGTTAGAATCTATCCCAATTCTCTAAAAGGCATGGAATCACCTGTGTCACTATCAGCAGCTTGACGGGTAACAAGCTCCACCAACACCAACACTCTACAAGCGTCAAGCGGGCATGAGAATGAACCCTCCAAGCTGGAACGCAGAGTGTAGCCGTTGTCAGCGATGGTCACCATAGATTCATGAGGAGTCAAACACGCAGGTATGCCTGCCGCTCCGCGGGCTCCCCCCCACCCCACCCCGTTCGCTCGCACTTATGGAGCCCCTCCCTACCGACCATTTTTTCCTTTTTTGCGATCACCCAGGAATTTTTGGGGCACATGAAGGAAACTGATGCGGAGGTCCCGTACCGTCACGGTCCCTTCTTTTACTACTCTCGCAGCGTCAAGGGGAAGCCGTACAGGATCCACTGCCGGAGCAGAGAGCAGGGCGGGGAGGAACAGGTGCGATCCCTGGTTGAGGTGAAGGCCTCCGGCCCCGAAAGCCGACGGCAATTTAGGCTTGGTACTGCTTTCTTCGGATTGGGAAATGCTGGTGCAGCAATCGGTGTGCCATGCAGTGGTGTCTGGTGCACACAAGCCCACACAGCATCCGTGCGGGCGCCTGGGTCCCCCCGCCAAGCGTTCACGCCTCGGTACCTGTGTGGGGCTCGTCCGAAGAATGTTGTTTGCTCATTTTGCGTGTCGTCGGACTTCGTTGCCGCCTGTTGGCGCGGATTATTTGGCGCTACGAGTATGTGGACGGGTCTATTCTTGGTGGGGTCGAACACATACTTCCCCAAGAGGCATGACCCGGCAGGGCATATGCATGCCTAATCGAGAGCAGAACACCTGTTCGTCAGCAGGTTTGGTGTGGGGGGTGTACTCATAGTCGTGCATGCCGTAGTCGGAAGACATTTGACCTCGGATCCCTACAAAGCCGGGATGGAGCACGCCGGGTTCTCACCGGACCAGGCTCTCACAGCACCAAGCGCGAAGTGCCGTGAGGTATTCGGCGAGTCGCATGAAGGGTGCGCTGCATCCTGCTGAGGGTGTTCGGCATCTTGTGCTTGCTTCCTTGCGTACGGATGACAGCTGCGTATGACTTAATTTACTTTCTGGTGCTTTCACTTCCAGAGGCAGTTGTTGGCACTGTGCAACTGCCTCGAGGGTGCTTGACCATTGTAACACAACGTGGTGCGATTATCCCCCTTGCGCGGAGTGAGGGTTCTCGACCCCGCACAAGATGGTCTACTCGACCACCATTATGGTTACCGCAAAAAAAAAAAAAACGGAGGTAAAAAAAAAAAACGGTAACCTGGTTGCCGAGTTCACGAAGTGAATTGGCTTGTTTTTCACCGTCGTTGCCATGCGACGAAAACCCAATCCCGATGGCAAACACCTTTAAGGGGAGGAAAGGGGGGTGGTGTGGGGGTCATATTTGTTGTGCGGGGTAAAGGGGAGATGTCTGGATTGATCCCTCCTGTGAGTTTTGACGATAAATGTTTCGGGCGTTTGTGTGCGGCTAGCTGAACGTTTCCGTCGCCTGGAATGGTTTTTTCAACAATCTGTCTTTTTCTTCCCCGTGAAGAGAACGGTTTGGACGTGTGTGTGCAGCTAGCTGACTTTTTTGTCCCTTTTTTTTTTTGTCTTGAAGCGCTTGGACACACGCGGCTAGCTCACTTTTTCTTCTTGTGAAACGTTTTTTGTTTGTCGCAATACGGTTGGACGCGTGCGGCTAAATGCCTGACTTTTCGTCGACTGAAACGTTTGTTTTTTCAACAGGTGGTGTTGGACGAGAACGTCGAGGCGGAAGGCGCCGAGTACTGCGACATCGCGGCCGTTATCCCTTCCCCTGGCGGGCACGACCTAGCCGCCTATGCCGCGGACATGACCGGCTACGAGGTGCGTGGGTAGGGGATGGGAAGGGCTGTTGAGAGTTTAGTGACGGGGGAGATGCCGTATATGACACATGATAACACACCCCCTTGACCGATTTTCGAAGCTCGATTTCTCATCTGCCGGAACAGTCACAGCGCCGAAAACGGTGGCGTTGAAACCGTCTCGTCGAGAGCTTTTCGAAAATGTATCCTTTCGTTTATGCGTTCTCTTCGTCGTGGAGTAATCGAGCTTTGAAAATCGGTTCAGGGGGTGTGTTATCTTGTGTCATATACGGTACGGAACACGGCGTGCGGTGTGTTGTCACACGTGCGTGCTTGTTTTGAGTCACGCCACACAGGAGGCAAGCACCGCGGGAGGGGTGGAGGCAGGGGAGCCTTTGTGTGTGCCCCCGAAGTGGTCGTACCCGCCATAAAACGCTGTGCGTGAGCACCGATTCAGAGTGACGAAAAAAAAGTATGGCTCATGGCTTGTTCGTCTGCGAGCGACACCTCTTGTGTCCTCGAAAGGAATGGTGTACATCAAGACGAATATACCATGCGTGTGTTTGGGTGTCACGTCCACCTTGGTGTCTCAGAAGGCGTGGCGTACAGGGCTGACTCTCTGGTGGGCCCACTCCCTCGTCTCAACGTTTTTTGTCCCCCGTCATTCCTGCCCACAATGTCCTGTAACAGTAGCAAGCACCCTGTGAACTACATCTCACACCGTTTTCTCCGAAAACAGTGACACAGTCAAAGGAAGACCACCCGTTCGAGATGCTTGAAGCAGTGCATACGAGGGGGGTGCGTTGAAGTTTTCTTCTTTGTTTCTTTCGCGTTGTTTTCGCGCGTCGGGCTCGATCGCGCTGATGCCGCTGCAGAGCCTTGCCCACACCACCCATCCAACCACGGCGTAGCGCCCCTTAGCGCAAAGCATTTACATCCCTCGTGTTCGAACGGATTCATTTGCCGGTGATGCCTCTCGCCTTTTCCAATACATGCACCCTCGCTTCGCGGATCGATGCTCCATCTTTTCTATTTTTGCACAGACGTACGATGTTCGGTTTCGCGACGTGGCGACGGGGAAGGACCTCGATGACGTCATCACCAAGACATCCGGAGACGTTTGCTGGGGGGCGGACGCTACCACGGCTTTCTACACCACTCAGGCATGTCGAGAGATTGCCTGTGAGTCCTCTCTGCGGATGGGTGCACGCCTCACGCGCGAAGAATGGTGATGTTCGTGTATGCGAATAGCGCCCGCACTTGACAGCTTTGCAATTATTTAGAACTTCGTGCTCCTCCACATTGTGCCAGACCGTGGAAGTACAAGTACAAGTAGAGCGCCACTTGTGACCCCGGTGAAGAACGCCTCCATTTTTACCTGTGTAGGGGCCATGTGTTGCCCACAGGGGGAAGTACCGAAAGAATCCCATCCTGGCCCAAAGCTAGAGGTTCTTGAGTGCGGACGCTATTTAGTATCTTTGCTTGTCGGGGATCGGGGACGCGCCATGTACGGAGGATCGCTCAAGGCCGTGTTCACTCGCGCCAGCACCTCCAAACAAAGCATACATACATGCATGCATATGTCTTTGAGTGTGCTGTTCTAAATGTGTTGCTTCGGTTTTTCATCTGTTTTTCGATTTTTTTTTTGTGTTTGTTTTTGGTCCTAACCTTCCCCGCTCCCATACCCGTCTGTCTTCGGTGGCGCTCGCATACGCCCCCATTTGGTCGTCCAGGATGAGGAGCACCGCCCGCACAAGCTTTGGCTGCACACCCTGGGCACGCCGCAGGCAGAGGTATTTCTACGTTTGCGGGATAACAAACGTCGAGGATCGTTTCTTGGTACATGGACACTGATAGAAAGGGCGTCATGCTTGAGCACACAGCACCCGGCAGGGTTTGATGTTTTTTTTGTTTTCTTCTGCGTACATGTGCTTGATGAGACGTAGTTGCATTAATCTTGGAGCTCGAGGTTACTTCTTCATACGGTTCACATGGAATAAGAAAGTGGGGCCAAGAAGCACAGCTAGCTCAGCGGTGTCTTGATGTTTTTTTTTGTTTTCTTCTGCATACATGTGCTTGATGAGACGTAGTTGCATTAATCTTAGAGCTCGAGGTTACTTCTTCATACGGTTCACATGGAATAAGAAAGTGGGGCCAAGAAGCACAGCTAGCTCAGCGGTGTCTCCTGGAACTGTCAACTCCATACCGTATCAACCTTTGGCAACGACGTGAGCCTTGAACCGGTGTCATTCATCTCCGAGCCATTCCTTTACGTGTTGTCGCCCTGGGAAAATGCCTATTAATGCCCTCAAGGACGTGCTGCTGTACACGGAAGACGACCAGCTTATGTGGATGGGAATTAGCAAGACCGACAGCAACAGGTGCTTATAATACGTCACTCCGGTTCCGTGACTTGTTGTTGTCCCTTTGTATGTTGATGTCTTGCTGCAAGAGAGGGCGGATCTTCCATCCTCCCCTCTGCTGGTCCGTTAGTATGTGATAGTATAGGCGTTTTTCTTCTTTGTCGGACTTCGTTCGATTTCGGAAGCGAGACGTGAGCTCTTGCTCCCGAAAGAAGAGCTACCGCTGAAAAAAGAAGCGCTTATGCACTAGTTGCAAAAAAAAACATCATGATCCGCGTTTTTTGTTACATGTTTTTTTTTCTGGTGGCATCCTTCTTTCGTTGTGGTTTTCCCAGTGGCTAGGTGGGTTCCTTGCTTGCTCCTGGTGCTTCAAGCGACGGGTGAGGTCTCTTGTCACGCTGGACTTTTTTTCATTTCGTCCGAAAGGGGGCACCGTCATATCACACACGCGACGCACTCGGTGGAACAGCACTCGTACGTGTAAAACAGCCACGAGTCGTGAGAGTAGGCAAGCGACAAGTTATTGCGTCGTCGGCGCTGATGCACCCTCGGCAAAAATAGTTGTATGTTGGGGGGGGGAGGGGGGGTCGTGGTGCATGCCGTAGTCGTTGGACCGTTGACCTCGCATCACTACAAAGCCGGGACGGAGCACGCCGGGTTCTCACCGGACCAGGCTCTCACATCACCAAGCGCGAAGTGCCGTGAGGTATTCGGCGAGCCGCATGAAGGGTNTCTGCCTCGAAGGTGCTTGACCATTTTAACACAACGTGGTTCTATCATCCCCCTTGCGCGGAGTGAGGGTTCTCGACCCCGCACAACATGATCTACTCGACCACCATTATGGTTACCGCCAAAAGCAAACAGAGGTAAAAAAATAAAACGGTAAACTGGTTGCCGAGTTCACGAAGTGGATTGGCTTGTTTTACCAACGTCGTTGCCACGCGACGAAAACCCAATCCCAATGGCAAACACCGGGGGGGGGCGCTTGTTTTACAACGTCGTTGCCAAGCGACGAAACCCAATCCCGATGGCAAACACCGGGGGGGGNCTCACATCACCAAGCGCGAAGCGCCGTGAGATATTCGGCGAGTCGCATGAAGGGTGCGCTGCATCCTGCTAAGGGTTTTCGGCATCTTGTGCTTACTTTCTTGCGTACGGATGACAGCTGCGTATGACTTAATTTACTTTCTGGTGCTTTCACTTCCAGAGGCAGTTGTAAGCACTGTATATCTGCCTCGAGGATGCTATACCATTTAAATTCAACTTGGTTCGACCATCCCCCTTGCGCGGAGTGAGGGTTCTCGACCCCGCACAACATGATCTACTCGACCACCATTATGGTTACCGCCAAAAAAAAACGGAGGTAATAAAAAATAAAACGGTAACCTGGTTGCCGAGTTCACGAAGTGAATTGGGTTGTTTTACCAACGTCGTTGCCATGCGACGAAAACCCAATCCCGATGGCGAACACCGAGAGGGGGGCTAGGGTGGGGGGGTCAAAGTAAAACGCACTCGACGACGCTGCCGTGCCCGGTGCGTTTGTGTCTTCCTGTGTCCTTGGTGAAGGTTCTTGACGATGAGGGTCGGCAGCAAGACCACCTCGGAGATTCGCTTCATCGACCTGCAGGTGAACAACCCATGCAATTGTTGCAGTCTTTGTAGTTGTTGCGGTTACTGTTGTTGTAGTGTGGTCGTTGTGTTGGTTGAGTTCTGTTGCTATTGCTGTTGCGGTTGCTGTTATGTGCGACGGCTCGCGTGTTAGCGTCTCCATGGAACACATGGTTTTGGAGAGGTTTTGCCAATTTTGCAATCTGGGCAACGCCCAACCTTAGATTCTGCCCCCCCCCCCACCAGCCCCCTTCCGGGGACCTTATTTTTTCCGGGCGACGCAGACGTCTTGTCATTGGTCAGTCGGGCTAGCGTTGTCTCTTATGTGCAATAGAACTAACGCGCACGCCGGTTACTGTAGCGCGGTCGACGCTTCGAGGAACAAAACAAACACGCACGCACACAAGATTACATGACCTTCAGAAGCATTTCCGTTTTTTTTCCCAGCGCGAGCCTGGCGTCTTTCCATTGGCCGGCTGGGTTGGCAACCTAGGTCTGCGCGCTACTGTAGTCACTGACACTAGCACACGCGCGCGCGCGTGCGTTTGCCAGGGCGTGCAGGGGGCGGAGGCACACCGCGGCTTGTCGCTCAAAATCCTGGCGGACAGGGTGGACGGCGTGCGGTACGGAGCTGAGGTGGGGGAAATCGAAACAAAAACACAACAATGAGAGGTTGGTCACCTTTTGACGCCATGGGTTCAATGCTAACCTGTCCCGGACTTGTTGTCTGAGCTCGCTGTATTTTTTTGCATGAAGAATGAAGACGAGTGCAACCACAACAATTGTGTTTCGTGTGTCTCTTGCCCGCCCGGTGTCAGCACTGGGGAGAGGACTTTTACATGGTGACGAACAAGGATGGCTGCAAGAACTCCAAGCTCGTCAAGGCGCCCATCAGGTTTGTCCTCGTCGTCGTCGTCGCTGTCGCCGTTGGTCGCCACTGCTGGTGCTGTTGTCGCCACTGCTGGTGCTTGTGACTTTTGTCCTTTGTGTTGTCGCTGGGCCCCTGACGGTGCCGCTGCCGCGTGCGCTGACGAGCCACCGCCACCAGTAAGACGGTGACTCAACATACACCGCTGGTGTGCGACCACGGGTCTGGCGGACTGTGTTGAGTCGGTCCATGATGGAAGTCATGTGCGCCGGGAGCTCCTCGATTCGACATTGTGATACGAGTGAATCACTGTGAATCACTCCTGTCACATCGAGGAGCTCCCGGCGCACATGACTTCCATCATGGACCGACTCAACACAGTCCGCCAGACCCGTGTTATGGCACACCGGTGTCTATGAAGCCACCATCTACAGGTGGTCGTGGCTCGTCAGCGGGCAAGCTTCCCGCACTTGGCAGCGGCACAGGCAGGGAGGGCCCCAGCGACAACTGGCTTCAAGTTCTTGAGCAGTATCATAGTCGAACCGCACATCAGGCGCGTGTTTTTTCGCTTTTTGTCTACGGGTTGCGCATACTGCAGCTTCTTTGGAGTGCCTTGTGTGTAGCACCCCTGTTGCCGGTGTGGCCTGAGTTATGGGCGAGGCGGTGATGCCGCTATCCAAAACGAGCCAATCACCTTGCTGTCTCGGGCTGTGCTTGCGGCCGGTGCGCGGTTTGGTTGGCCAAGGTCTTGATGTCTTATTTTCCGTAGTAAATTTTGATCGAATCTCCGAGGAACGGAGTCGCGGTCGTCTCCTGTAGTGACGATACCGATGATGATGCTGGTGTTGGTGCCGATCACACCGCTGTGGGCTGCTGCTGGATTCAGCGGAATCCGTAGGCTCATTCATGTGTGGAGGACGATAGTTGTTGCTTTTCTACTGCTGCTGGTGATGCTGTGTACGTTCACGACGGCCGCTTCTTACTTCAGCGCACCAGGGTCAGAGAACTGGACGGACGTGATGCCTTACGACCCGGCCGTGTGCTTGAAGGGGGTCTTGTGCTTCGAGAACCACATCGTCCTCTCCGGAAGGTGAATGACGTGGATTCTTGTCTTCGTGGTTTCTCCGTGCGAAGGTTGCAAAATGTGATGACCGTTACCCCCAGCTGTCAAGTTGTTGTCTTGTTGATGACAAATTATGACGCTGTTGTTGACGTTATCGATACCCCAAAGTGTCAAGTTGTCGTATTTGTTGTTGTTGGATGATGATGATGATGATGATGTGGCTGCCGCCATCGGTACCCTAAGTTTCAAGTTGTTGTTGGTGGTGGTAGTGACGAACGACGATGATGTTGTTGCCGTCATACGTAGCCCAAAGTTTCAAGTTATGGTCGTGTTGTTGTTGCTATTGCTGCTGCTGCTGCTGCTGCTGCTGCCGATGTTACTGTTACTGTTGCGATGATGTTGTTGCTGTTACCGTTGTGGGTGACGCCGCGCGACCACAGGGAGAACGGGCTATCCCAGCTGTGGATCCGGGACATGAGAACGGGCAAGTCGCACCAGGTGGAACACCCAGAACAGGCGTACGCGTGCTACTCCACCTGTAACATGGTGTTCGACACGAGCACGCTGAGGTTCGGCTACCAGTCCATGGTCTCCCCACGGGCGGTGTTCGACTACGACATGGACTCGAAGTGAGCAAAGACAGCGCGCGTTTTTTGGGCGAGAGAAAGAAACGAGTGTCTCCTCTCCGATATGTATGCCCGTAGGATGTCACTATTCCACGAAGTGCATCCAATCATCCGCCCAGGAGCCAATAGCTGCTGGAAACTGCCCTGACCTACATGCGTGCGTGCGTCCGTGTGTGTGGATACGAAACGTTGGTGGTATTGTGAAGTAACCTATAAGTTGCCCTGACATACATGCGTGCGTGCGTGCGTGAGTGCATGTGTGTAGGCATTGTGCGTGGTATTGGGAACCAAGCTACCGATGCTTTTTGTATTTTCGTCGTCGTTGTTGCTGTTGCTGCCGCGGCGCAGGGCTCGCACTCTGTTGAAGGAAAAGGAGGTCCCCGGGTACGACAGGTCGATGTATGAATGCGAGAGGACGGTGGCCAAGGCTCGCGACGGGGTGGAGGTGAGAATTAGTAGTTGTTGAGGGGGGGGGGGGTACTCACGTAGACGCATGTCGTAGTCGTTAGACCAGAGACCTATCATCCCTATGACGGGGCGATACTGGGTGGGTGGGTGGTTGGGTAGGAGGGTACTCATGAAAACGCATGCCGTAATCGTTGGACCATAGACGTCTAGTCCCTACATTGCGGGGGATGGATGATCTTGGTGCGCTTGTGTCATTGCTTCACCGGTATTCGGTAGGCGCAAAACAAGCCGTGACGGCCGTGGCGTGCACGTGAGGATTGAGGTCGTCTCTTTCCGCTACATGGCAGTGCTATGTTCTCGGCCATGACGAAGACGAAACTGCCATCATCTTGATAATAAGCGAGAAGAGCGCGAGACAGAATCGTTGCGGATGTCACAGCAAGGGCGTTCCTGCCAAGATGGTCACGAAGAAGGCAGGCTTGCCAAGATGGTCACGAAGAAGGCAGGCTGTGGCTGTTGTCTACCTGGGGAGTAGGTGCCCCATCACCACGGTCTACCACAACGATGCACCATATGCCTTGAACAACAACAGAGGCAACCAGCTACTGCTTCAACATCAACCACAGAAGCAACGGCGACAACAACAAAAACAACAAGAGCGTCACCTCCACCAGCAGCAAGAGCAACGACGACGGTGACGATGACGGCGACGGTTTTCATTATTTCTGTATGTTCTCCCGCGCTTGCCACCCGCTACCCACCTCTCCCCTCAGGTGCCAATGTCGATCGTCTACCGAAAGGACGCGCACCCCGATGGCTTGGCGGGAGCGAAGGCCCCGTGCATGCTTTACGGCTACGGCAGCTACGGTGCCTCGATAGAACCGTCCTTCGACTTCACCAGGTATTTGGTTACCGCTTTTGAAGGGTCCGGGGGTCGAGGTACATGCCGAAAGCGCGATCAATAAATATAGTTTGGGTGTGATATGTTTTTGTTTTGGGAATTTGTTCATTTCCAGGGATTGAGACGTAATTTTTCTTTTCAGTTTGGGCATTTGTCAATTTTCAGGGGATTGAAGACGCAACATTGGGGGGGCGCAGGTTTCCTTGTAATTGTGCCCCGGGGGGGGGGGTCGCGCGATTCTGCTGCGCGCATCCTCGCACACATGTACATTTTAGGATGCGGTTGTGTGGGATGCCGTGTTTTCTCCCATTTGTGTCCCCTCTCTCCAGTGACTCTGGCAGGGAGTTGTGAGTGGCCGGGCGTTCGCTTCTCACACCGAACACCGTCGGTTCGTGTGCCAAAATGTGCGTGCGTTGACAAGCACTGGCGGCCTACTATGTGGATTCGATTTGGTGACGCTAAGACCATCCCTTACAACATGGACAACACGCCACTTCCTCGTGCTTGCTCGTGTGCGTGCCTGCCCGCTTGCGTTTGTATTTTTTGTCCTCTCGCCGACCCCCGCGTATTTGTAACCCCTTTCGCAAGTTCTCAAGTACGCGCGTCGTTGTTCGTTTCATTTCGCATGTCTGATCCGTTCTCGATGTTCCCTCTGGTCAAGGACCCGCGTCGCGGTTTGTTTCCCTGATTCGTATTCGACGACCCCCGAGATATTGAAACCTCTTTTGCTGAAGCCCGCGTTTTTTTTCTATTATTATGTGCGCGTTGTTATTTTTGTCGCTACTGCTGTCCATCCCGTCGTGTGTACATATCAGGCTCAGCTTCCTGGACCGTGGGATGGTGTACGCCATCGCGCACATCAGGGGCGGGGGCGAGATGGGTCGCCCCTGGTACGAGGACAGCGGGAAGTACCTCACCAAGCGCAACACCTTCCAAGGTACTAAAGTACTACTCTACTGGCTGTAGGTGTACAACTTTGCACCCTATTTAGCGTGACCTAATCCGATCCAAATGAGACACCTTCCAAGATACTACTGCTACTGTAGGTGCAAAAATTTACATCCTTTGTAGCATAACCAAATCGGATCTAAACGATACATCTTCCAAGCGAGGTAGATGTACTTTGCACCCGAGCTTGGCGTATACCACTTGACCTGGTTTTTTCAGGAGAGCCGTCGAAATGCAAAAAACCGCGTTCGTTGCAAGCAGAGCGTCGTTCGGTCGAATCCGACTGTCTAGTGAGTGTGCCGTCGGACATCAGCACCCGCGGACCAAGGACGCAAGCCCCCCCGCACCCCCTCCGAACAACCGAACATAAGGCCACGTGACGGAGCCCCCCTATCCTGTAGGAACAATGGTCTGCCCTCTCGAGAGGACGCGTTGCCAATGACGTAACAACCCAGGCATGCGAAACCATGAGGGCGCCCCTAAAATGTCATTCGGATCAGATTTTGTGGACTGCGCGGAGCACCTGGTGGCGGAAGGAGTGACGTCGCCGAAGGGGCTCGCCGTGTGCGGGCGCAGTGCGGGGGGCCTGCTGATCGGGAACGTGGTTAACATGCGGCCCGACCTGTTCGCGGCCGCGGTGGCGGACGTTCCCTTCGTCGACCTCATGAACTCGGTGAGATGAACAAGAAGGCTGTTGGTTTTCTGTTTGTTGGCTTTTGCCCGTTGCAGCTTCGTTGGCGTGTACAAAGGGTGACACCAATACTTTCGGATTGGTAAAATTGGGCCTCATTGACTCGGTGAGACTAGTGTTGGATGTGTAGAGGGCGGCGGCGGAGGAGAGCTCGTGGAGCGGAAGTCGTGATCCCGTGATCGCGTCTTGACTATTGAAAGAGTGCAGACCTGGAATACAGGTGGAATGAATGTCGAATGATGGGACAAGTTTCGGTTTTCTGTGCTCGTTGGACATGACTTGGAAATCTTGGGCGTGACCGCGTCTTGATCGCATGGACTGGTTGAAAGAGTCTATTCCTGGAGAGCTCAGGTGGGATGATTGCCGAAAGATTGGACAAGTTTGCTTTTGTTTTACTCTTTGGGGTTAAGCTTCGATGACGAAGGGCCAAAACGAAGGATTACGATTGCCAAAAGTTGGTTTACTCCTCGTTCTTGTAGGGGCATTGGATTCTCGGCGCGAAGCCTTGCCTTCTCCCTTTCTGACGTCCCCCGCTCGCCCTAAAAATGCTTCACCCTTCCCCGCCGGTACATATCCCCGTCTTCTCGGCGTGTGGTCCTCCAGATGGCGGACCCAAGCATTCCCCTGACCATCACAGAGTGGGAGGTGAGACAGACCTTTCACAAGGGTTTTGGAGGTTCCTCCGCATCTTGGCGCGTACCGGCAGCAGCGGGTATTCGCGTTGTTTCCGCGTCGTTCAAATTTAAGGAGCAAGAGGATAGCGCTTAGCTGTTTTGACATGCTGCGCTCCTCGTACCTTGGCTCCTTACGCGGCACGCGTGCTGGCGCCTGAGATGCAGAGAGGTTTTCGTTTGTCGGTTCACGTGCACACTTGACGACGCACAACGCGTGTCTTGAAAGTCCCCCCGTTCTCCTCCACAGAGTGGACGGACGCACAGCGCTTGTCGTGAATAGCATCCCCGTCCCCCTCTCTCCATTTGGTCTCACCTCGCCTTCCAGGAATGGGGAAACCCTAACGAATTCAAGTACCACGACTACATGCTGTCCTACTCGCCCTACGACAACGTGCGGCGTCAGCCCTACCCGGCGATGCTCGTTACGGGGGGGCTCAACGACCCAAGGGTATGAGGAGGCGGAGGAGGAGGAGGAGGAGGAGGAGGAGGTTGTTGTTGTTGTTGTTCGGGATCGCTCTCGTTCCTTTGCTTTTTTCTTTTCCGTGTTGTGGTTGTGCCGACAAATTTACTAAGGAGGTCGTGTTTGCTTGTACTCCGCTCAAATCGCTAGTTTGCGGTTTGTGCGTGTGGGAAGAGGTTGTGTCTGTTGGTGTTCGTGATCGCTCTCGTCCCCTTACTTTTGCCGTTTCGTCTTGTGGTTGTGCGGACAAATAGTTTGTGGTTGTTGCATGTGATTCGGTCAAACGGCTAGTTCGTCGTTGTGCTTGTGTGGGATAGGCGGCTGGCTTGTCGTCATCGCTCTCGTTCCTTTGCGTTCGTGTTGTAATTGTGCGGTCAAAGGTCGCTTGTGCTGGTTGTGATTCCCTCCCTCTCATGGCTGTGGCCGGTACGTGTCCTTCAGGTGGCGTACTGGGAGCCGTGCAAGTGGGTGTCCAAGCTGCGGGACTTGGCCACCACAGATAACCCGCTGTACCTCAAGATAGGTGAGAGCTGAACGGCCATGTCACCACCTGTGTTTGCGAAACGGTGTCGAGGGTCATTGGGACAAATTAGCAAATCAGGTAGTTGACCAGTCGACGCGGCCGTAGCATTTTCGGAACGCCCCACACACGACAACTGGAGCGCATACAACACACAACTAACACACATATATCACGCAAGCACGCCAAGTACATGGTACCAACACACAAAGCACACCTGCTTTACTTTTGACTCGCAAAGCACGCCTACTTGACCTCCCTGTCTCTTGGTGGACGCACTCGTGTTGCTTTCTGTTCTTGTTTTTGCCAGACATGTCGGCAGGCCACTTCAGCGCGAGCGACCGCTACAAGCACATGAAGGAACAGGCCTTCGAGTACGCCTTCGTGTTGGATGTCCTAGGGTGCACGTCTCTCGTCGCCCCAGCAGCAGCGGCGGCGGCGGCGGCGGCGGCATCAGGGGGGGGGAATGGATCGTTCACAGCCCCGGCCTCACCGCGAGCCTCCTCGTAGGGGCTTTGGCTTGGTTTGTACGGTTCGAGATGCATGGCCTTCGAGTTTGAGAAAGTTTGGCTGTAATTTTTGTTTTGTAGAAATTCCTCCTCTTTTCCCCTGCTTGTGTCAGTCTGGTAGGACTAGGGCTTGTTGATTACTTCACAAGTGTGTTCGGCGGGATATTCCTCTAGGTCGGTTTATTTCGATTTTTGCCTTGGTGAGCAAAAGGAAGTTCATTTTCCTGCCGAAAGGAAGGCGGGGCATTATGCTGATTATGAATCACGACGATTTCCCTGTAGTTTGAAGCTTGAAGACAAGGGAAACAGCAACCGACTTCGGCGTGAGGGGGGCCTCATAGTCGTGCTGATTCGCTGAATTGGACTCCCTACAGTAGTCGGGTTGTATGCATACGGTGGATGGTGTGCAGGGTTTTGTCCAACGGTACTCGATTATCCTTTTTTTGGGCGGACACACTTTCGGGGGGTAACGCCATTCGGCGGGCAGTTTTTCGGCGGTAAACGGCATTATTTTTTTGTGTTGCCTTGTTCGGCATTAACAGCTTGTCGGAGACGGTAGAACCAAACGACGGAATATTTTTCGGGTGGAACATGGGTGGAAGGCAGTGATCGCGTTTGTCGACAGTAAAGAATTTGGCGGAAGCGGTAAATAAACCGGCGGGGTACCGTTACCACCCACCAGGACGGTATTTTCACGGTGGGTAAATTACCATGGTAAACCCGACGGTATGTTTTTACCCTCCTGGTCGTCTGGTGATGGAGGGGGGCGTGCTGTGCGGCGCGGGAGAACATATACCTTGTTGTGTAATGGCATGTCCTTAAATGTGAGAAGGGCACGGGAGAACAATATCTCATCACGAAAAAAAAAGGATCTCATCATTGCCTCCTGACGTGGCCGCCGATAGAGGCGTGCGTGTGGTTGGGGCTTCATCACTGACGACATGTGGGTGTGTGTTGAATGCAGTGGGTGGGTATGGTCGCCTCTCTCGCCCGTGTGTCGGCAGAAGGCATAGCTACATTTCCCATTAATTTGTAGGCAGCGCGGACCATAAGTAACGACAGAATGTATCATTTCATGCATCAACATCATCATTTGTATGTTGTTGTTGTTGTTATTGTTGTTGTTGTTGTTGTTGCTGTTGTCTTCACATAAAAAACCGTTCCGATCTCTCTCTACCCAGTGCCTTCGTATGTCCGCACTGATCCAACACTCGACGCGGTCGATTCCCGTGGTCGCAGACTAGCTTATTCTAAAGAGGTACACTAAAAAAAATGGCCCCGAGGGGTCCGCAAGTCATCGACAATGGAAATCAACAACAGACAGATATTATTCTGGAGTCCTCCACTCCCTCTGCGCGCTATGCGAGGTAATAACTGAGACTAGGAGTCACCACATCACGGGCCGGAGAGAATGAGGTACACCCCCTTGGTTCAATCTTGGTACCTCACAACGCAAGCAGAGACAAGGCCATCTGGCACAGAAAAAGAGAGAAAAAGAGAAGAAAAGTATGTGGAAAGAGAGGAATGAGAGGTTGTTCTAGCTAATAGTCTGAACAGACTAATGAGCAGTTTTGTGTGTATGAGTAGGGGGAGTACTCCCTGTGTCCGTGTTGTTCCCAGATGTTGCCGCATCAAGTGGCAGCATGTGTCATGGACAGGTAGACGTGGAAGGGCGGCGACAGGTGAACGGCAGCAGCAGTCAGTATGTTGTGCATGGTGGCATGTTGGGCTTGTTGTACAAAGACGCAGTTCATCTTCGACCACACATAACGAAGGAGTTTGTTCGTACCTGTCGGAGTTTTGGAGGGCCCAAGTCTGTNAATAGTCTGAACAGACTAATGAGCAGTTTTGTGTGTATGAGTAGGGGGAGTACTCCCTGTGTCCGTGTTGTTCCCAGATGTTGCCGCATCAAGTGGCAGCATGTGTCATGGACAGGTAGACGTGGAAGGGCGGCGACAGGTGAACGGCAGCAGCAGTCAGTATGTTGTGCATGGTGGCATGTTGGGCTTGTTGTACAAAGACGCAGTTCATCTTCGACCACACATAACGAAGGAGTTTGTTCGTACCTGTCGGAGTTTTGGAGGGCCCAAGTCTGTCTCAAGCAGCAGTAGGAAGGAGCGAACAGGCGCAGTGCTTCTCTACAGCTTTAGAATCCGTCCTCTTCAAATCCTAACGGAGATGATTACGTATCGCACAACGGCTGGATCCGAATTGCCGGCTAGCTCCGAAAACCAGGAGAGGTGGGGGAGTAGCTCAGACGAATGGCTGCGTGTGCGCTCCTTCATGTGCATACTTGGCTGACTCTTTGAAGGGTAGAATTCTGATTCGGCGGGATTTGGCGGCATTTCGGCATTTATTTCCAGCATTTGCCATTGTCGCCTGGATGCATGGGCATTTTGACGAGGAAGTCCGTCATAGGTTTCTCCCTCTACTTGCAAGGGGCACGTTTCATTTTCAGTGTTCCCCCTTGCGGTTTCGATGGTCAAATATGCGGTTGCACACACATCTAACAACATATTCGCCTGATTGAGAGCGTAGCATCTGATTGAGAGCGAGATTGCGCGATACGCTGTAGCCGGACTACCACTGAGAGGTGGAGCTTGCTGTGTAGCTTGAATTGAAGGGCTAGCCCGTAGCTTCAAGCCGCTACCCTGGTCATCCTGTGGGAGTCTCTCGTTGTGGAGCTACAGCGGGGAGCAGAAGCTACAGCAGAGCCCACCGCCCGACGCGATACCGCCCTGAAACAGTTTGAGCAGAAATAGCCAATCTGGGCAAATCTAGCAACTTGTCTAGCTCCTCGCTGCAGCATCCGATGACGATGACACGCATATGCTCGCGAAGCTGCTGATGAGACCTTCAATTTGCACCGCTTCTTGGAATAGCCCGTCCCCTACTTGCCAAGAAATGGCAAGAGGCGTCTGGACCCGAAATTTCAATTTTTTTGGCTCTCGCTCTCAATCAGATACATACTTCGCTCTCAATCAGGCGAATATGTTGTTATCTTTGCATCGCTACATACTACAATGTGCCATATTTTTCGCTCGTTTTCATCGTTGACAGGTTCGATGTAAACGTTAGAACGTGTAAAGCTTTTACAAGAGGACATCTACGCAGTAGTATTTTAGCAAGCTTACGAACGCATATAGGATACCATGAGGATTGTCATTGGTTTTATTTCAAGTTGAAGAGGAGATATTTTTACGATGTAAGTGACAGTAGAAATAAGTCCTACATATGTTGTTGTACTTCGTATTGGTTCAATATTATTCATCATGTAGAGTATGAGGCATTAAGTGAAAGTTTTCTGAGGTACATCTGCAATAATTATCGGAAGGCAAAAAAAAAAAAAGAGTGTAATGTTGGCGTTGAATCCCGCGTTGTTGTTGTTGCATCAATTATTTCACTAACCATGTCGCACAGTTAGTTCTTATCATACATAATACAGTGAGTGCTACTTTCACATTCCATTTTCACAGGTTGGCCATCTCCCATCCGATGCTAAGACCATTTATTATCTCTCCACCACGAAGTTCGTTTCATCTACACGCTTGCAGATACCCGTCTCAACTCTAAGCCAGTACGAATTTCTGACTGTGGGTACATGTACGTTCCCAATGTTCATAGTAACCGGCGATGTTCGAAAAACGTGTACGAGAAATTATGCAAAGTGTTACGAATAAGTCTAGAAGAATAGAAGCGTGCAAGCATGTCTTTCATAAGTCTGGCCGTTGCTGCCTGAAGAATTCGAACATCAGTACATCTTATGGCAAATCGGCACATTTGACAATCAATGTCGTGAAATTTTTAGAATCAACCCTTCTCGGCTTCGGGTGCGGGACAGCTACCAGTGTGTGTGGCGGGGACGCGTGTGTAGAAGCACACGTGTCCCCGTCAAGTCAAGATCGATTCGGGGAAGATCCAAGCAAACATCATGCATAATATCCTGCACGGGTCGGGCTACACGGGCTTTGCAGCAGCTGAAAACCGCAGGCAGCAGCTGAGAAAACGACGACAAGCACAGCGGGGGGGAAGCAGAGGCAGAAACGACAGCACAGACAGCATCGACCGGAGTGCGGTGGTGGCACGTGTGCACAGACAAACACAGGATGGTGCCTGTCCCGTCGACGTGCTTGCTTTGCGGAAGATCCAAAAAGAGTTGATCGGAGATTGTGCGAAAAAGAGTTCAGGCACCGAGAGAGGAAAATCCGCGTGGAGGAGCGTGGAGAGATATCGTGGAGAAGGGAAACATAAGAGGTAGCAGTGAAGGGGCTGGTAGAGGTGAGAGCTTGTTGAAGTCAGTTTGGATCCATTGCGGCGACGATCCACTGATCGTAGATCGTACAAGCCGGATCCGCCGCAAATTGCCCACAGCGGAGGACGCAGCAGCAGCAGCAGCAGCAGCGGCAGAGGCAGCCGCACGTACCGACGAGAGGGCAACATCGGAACACGTGTGCGCGACACACACACGTGGTCCCGGACAGAAGTTTTCGAGAGATCCAAACAAAAGCTCGATCGGAGATCCTGCAGCCTCGCTTCTGGAAGAGTCAACGGCAGGAGCAGCTCAGCGTGGTGAGAGGAAGATCAGGGGA